CGGCCCTTAACTGAGATTTTAAACTGCAGTCTTCCTTTGACCTCACAGTTCTACCTCTTAGCATTTCTCTTTGAGAGATACACAGATGTGCAAAATATATGTGCAAAGAGGTTTGTTATACATTGTTCATGATATCCAGAAAACAGGGAAAACCTAGATGTCCATCTAAATAAATTATGGTACATGTGTAGACTAAATTACTAGATAGCCACAGAAAAACATACAGTCAATGTGTATGTATGGGTTTATAATGGAGTGGAGGAAATATAAGTGAAAAAAGCTGATGAAATAAGTGTGTTCATTCCATTTGTGTGTCTGCATGTGTAAAGATGAAGCACACATTTTATATTATAAAATATAAAAGAAACACATGCTTTTAGACACAAGTAACATTTCTGGAAAGGTATGCAATAATTTACAGAATGCCTTTTTTGAAATGAGACAGAATAATATGCCTTTTTATTATGCACCTTTGTTTTTTATATCACAAATTTGTGATTTTTTAAAAAATTATATCCTTTATGGTTGTGATAGTGTTTGACAAAGAAACAAAAACTTTTAAATCTTTTTTTTTTTAATCTGAACTGTTATTGTTAACAGGTTGTAATTGTTTAAGTTTTAGGGAAGGATTTTTAAAGAACAGGCTTTCTGTAAGAAAAGTAAAACTTAAAGTTTTTGGTAGGCAGTATAATGGCTTCCAAACATATCCAGATTCTAATCCTTGAAAACTTGTCAGTATGCTAGGTTGCATGCCAAAAGGATCTTTGCAGATATGATTAAGTTAAAGGATCTTGAGATGCAGAGATGATCCTGCATCATCTTGGTGAGCCCAGTATCTTCAAGGGTCCTGATAAAAAGGAGACAGGAGAGTCAAGAGTCAGAGAAGTTGATGTGACCACAGAAAGAGAGGTCAGAATAATGAGACTGCTGGCCATTGGACACAAGCCCTGGAGTCTGGGCGGCCTCTAGAAGCTGGAAAAGGCAAGGAAGCAGATTCTCCACTAGAACTTCTAGAAAGATTGTAATCTTGCCAACATTTTGATTTCAGCCTGGTGAGGCAAGTGTTGGACTTCTAATACCCAGAACTGTAAGAGAATAAATTTGTGTTGTTTTAAGCTACAAAATTTATGGTTATTTGTTACAGCAGCAGTAGGAAGCTAATATAGAGAAGGACAAAATGTAGGTGCTAATGAGGATTAAATTTCTTTGTCTCCAAGCAAGAAAGATGGGCAAGGCATAGTTATTGTTTCTTTGTGGTATATTAATAGAGAAAGGCAGTTATAAATATGTGTTTAAAATATGAAGATTACTAGTAGTGGAATGGTAATATATGGTATACCTTCCCAATCACCAAAGGAAAAAGCACATTTAAAGATATTTGATTCCTGTGGTAAAGCGAAGAAAGGAAAAACAAAAGTAATGGAAAATATAATATGTAATGGTAGAAATAAGATCAGTTCTTACAATAAATGTGATGGATTGAACTCTGTTTTTAAAGGCACTTTGAGATTGAATTAAAAACGAAAAGTTAAAGCTATGTCCTCTTTACCAGAGTCAGATGATTTAGGTTGTGAAAAAAAGGCTGGTGGGAAAGGCATAGATATATTGGTGAAAGCAAATGAGGAAATGGGTGACAAGATAATATCAGATAAAGAGGAATGTTGTTGCAACAGCATTAAGAGAAAGACATTTTCAGTGATAAAAGTTGGGATACAGGAAGAAGATACAGTAATCTTGAATATTGATGTACCAGACACTATAACAAAGATACAAAGCAAAAACTTAGTCATTTAAAGGAAGTGTGAAAAAAAGCACATGGGAAACTTCAACACAAATGTTAGAATTGGACTGATCAAGAAGACAAAATAGAGTATAATAAATTATTTTAAATATAATGTGAAACTAGATTATTTATGTAGTTATTTATCTATACACTTCTGTCTGTACCTTAATTTCCTCTGCCCAAGGAAAATTGAAAAGACTGATTCAGGCTTTCTTTTGTATATACAAGTTTCCTCCTTTATAAGATTTGTGAATCATGGAGTTCCCTTGGTCCTGGGTCCTTTTTTCTGTCTGTAATTTCGTTGTCCCTTTTTAGTTTAAGCACTGCTAAGTCTCATTGGTTTAAATATCTGTATTAGTTCATTTTTGTGTTGCTATAACAGAATACCTAAATTTATAAAGAAAAGAAAGGTTTATAATTTATAAAGAAAAGAGGTTTATTTGCCTCCCTTTTCTGGGGAGGTGTGTCTGGTGCCTTCTCCCTGTTTCCACTCATGGCAGAAGGCAGCAGGGCAGCTGCTGGGGACAAGAAGATCACACAGTGAGCAAGGAGGAGAAGGGAGGAGGGAGAAGGGAGGTGCCAGGCTCCTTTTAACAACCAGTTCTCATAAAAACTAATCCATTCCTGTGAGAATTCAGTCACCCCCCACACACCCCATATTAATCTATTCGTAAGGGATCCACCCCCATGACCCAAACACCTCCCAACACTGCCACAGTGGTGATCAGATTCCAATATGAGCTTTGGGGGGGACAAACATATCCAAACAGTATCAATATCTTTATGTTTGTGCCCGAGTTTCTTCTCTGGCAAATCTAACTGCCTGCTTAACATCTCCACTTGGAAATTGTGTCCAACCTTAACATGTCTTGATTCCCCTCCCCGTTCTTGTCCATTCCAGTAAAAGGTATAAACTTTGCAAAGTTCTTCAATCCAGAACAAGAAATATCATTGTTGATTCCTCACTCCCACATTTATTGCATAAGTGATTCTGCTTCCAAGGTACAGAATGAATCTACCCACTTCCATTCATCCACCCTGCTGTCCCTTGAGTCCAGGACCCTGTTGGTAACCACTTCTGTTCTCCCCAGTTCCACATTTACTCCCCACAGTCCATTATCCATCCTGTCCTACATCTGCATAAAGCCCAGAATGCCTTTCCTGTGCCTTAGATGGAGTCTAAACTTGTAGGCACCCTCTTCCAGCCCTGGCTCTTACCTTCTTCTCCACTCTCACGTCATGTAATAGGCTGGGGTATCCCCAGTTTGGGCCTCTGTATGTGCACTGGGGTGCCTCCTGCTCCCTTAGCCTAACCATCATCTCACCCTGTGGGCCTTGCACAGTGGTCTTTCCCTGACCCAGTGCTGATCACACTTCATTATTCTTGCCAGTTTGCTCACCTGGCCTTCCTGCTACCTGGGAAAAGGCCCCACCGTGCCCTTGCTGGGTCTAGCTCACACTTCCATCCCTGGCCTGGCACCTGGCACCTGGGGAGAGACCAGAGTTAATCATTGTTGGTAACGACACTGCTTCTTTTCCTCTCCTGTCATATCATGATGGCTTGAGAAACAGTACTCCCCATTGCTTGTATAAATGGGTGCAGCATGTTGGGGGCTGCCTGGCAGTTTGTCAGAAACCCTAATGATAGCCTTTTGACCTAGCAATTCTACTTCTGAATATTTAGCCTGAACACATATACAGTCAGCCCTGTGTATCCATGGGTTCCGCATTCATGGATTCAGCCAACCACTGTTCGAAAATATTTGGGGGGAAAGGGGATGGTTGTGTCTGTATTGAACAGACTTTTTTTCCTTGTCCCTATTACCTAAACAATACAATGTAACAACTATTTACATAGCATTTACATTGTATTAGGTATTATAAGTAATCTAAAGATGATTTTTTAAATATGCAGGAGGATGTGCATAGGTTATATGCAAATACTACACCATTTTATATAGGGACTTGAGCATCCATAGATTTTGGTCTCCACCAGGTGTCCCAGAATCAATCCCCCATGGGTACCAAGTGCCAACTATATTTAGAAATTAAGGTATGTGTGAAAGCAAAGGTGGCCATTATAGGGCTAGTGTAAGAGTGAAATTTGGAAAAGTCCTAATTATGCAGAAATGCTAAGTTCTTAGAAATCGGAGACTATAATATATAAATGGTTAGCAAATTATGGTCCTTTTATTAAATGCAGCCATTAATTGCAGTGATATTTGTTTATTGGCATTGGAAGAAAATTTGTTGTGCTGTTTCAAAAGAGTGTTTATGTTATGATCACAATTTTACAGAAGTACATTATAAATGATCAGTGGAAGGGGGGCGGGGAAAAAAATTAAATAATCAGTGGACAGGTTTGTGTTGATAAAGGAAGATTTCTCAAAGAATATACACACAAAATGGTAACAGTGGCTGTCTCTGAGATGTTGGATTACTGATTATTTTTACTTCTAGCTATTTGCATCTTTCACTTTCTGCGCTCCAAAACAGAAAATAAATTTCTGTTGTTTTGAGCTAACAGTTCTGTGGTGATTTGTCACAGAAGCCACAGGACATTAATACACCAGGCAAGCAGCTCACTGGTCTCTGGCAACATTTGTCAACAGGTTTTTCAGCAAGTAGGTTGGGGGGCACATGGTGGCTCTGGTCTTATATTGAGGACTTGTTTCTTGCGCAGCACAGCCTGGAGAGTGGCTTGCCCTCTCACGCTGCAGGAGCCAGACCCTAGCCCCCGCCACTTCCTGAATGGCCCCCGCAGGCCACAGCTGGAGGACCCCACACCCACCATCGCCTTGCCTATCGTCCTGCTATTTATCCTCGCTATGTTTCTTATATATTTTCTTTTTGTATCTTAAATATCATTGGAGCAGGGATAACCCAGTGTGTGAATTTAATACCAGAAGCCCAGAGCTTTATTTGTATGGCCTATAATTGGCATGGAAGCAGAGACCTGTGGAGTTAGCAAGGTGACAAGCAGATGGAAAATCACATACGAATGTCTGGAGGGGGAGCATGGTGAGATCAGATAACTGACAGATGTTCCACTTAATGAAGACCTCACATGAGGTCTGCAGTGAGTGTCTGAACCAGCATTTCATGGGTGATTTTAATCCACAAATGGATTTCTGGAGCTTGTGGAGGAATTGAGACCACTACAAAGGGTGACAGGCTTTATTTTTTAATGGTCCCTGTGATTTTTTAATGGTTCCAGGGAGAAAGGAGGAAAGACAGGAGTCAGGACCCAGTCGGATCTGCTGTGGTAACCCAAGCAAGAAAAAATACCAGCCCAGGCACAGGGGATCCATCACGAGGAGAGGCTCATCATGTTTGAGAGGTGAGACTCCAGGTCTTTGTGATTGTATGTGACAGGAAAGCATGTGGGAGGGGTCAAGAAAGACTTCCAGTGTCTTTGCTTGGCCCCTTGTATTCTCAGTACACATGTGAGGATCAGATATTAAACATTGCCAGGTTGAGAAGTACATATATGAGTGGTCTACAGTATACCGGGTAGAGACGACATGTGGGTTTCTGGCTCAGGAGCCTTCATGTTTGTCATCACGTCTCCTTCTCTGTCTCTGACCCTTCTATCTCCCTCTTTATAAGGCTCATTATGATGACATCAACCCTAACCCTATAATCTCCCCATCTCAAAATCCTCAACTACACTTCCAGTGTCCCTTTTGCCGTGTGAGGTAACATGATCACAGGTTCCAGGGATTAGGATGTGGACATCTTTGGGCGCCATTATTCAGCCAACCACAGTTATGGTAAAAAAAAAA